TGGCTCAGTCGGTTAAGCGTCTAACTTCAGCTCAGGTCACGATCTCGTGGTCTGTGAGTTCGAGCCCCGCGTCGGGCTCTGGGCTGATGGCTCAGAGCCTGGAGCCTGCTTCTGATTCTGTGTCTCCCTCTCTCTCTGCCCCTCCCCTGTTCATGCTCTGTCTCTCTCTGTCTCAAAAATAAACATTAAAAAAGATTAAAAAAAAAAAAGAAACTCAATTCTGCTTCATATTGTCTATCTTCTTACCATTTAAAAAATAAATTTCCTGGGGGCAGGGGAGATTCACACATTCTTAGGAATATAGTTTCCTTCATCTTTTGGGTACCATTTTCATCTCTTTCTAAGCTAGCTCTCAGAGGCAAGGACTCCGCTGTGGCCAGAGTGCCTCTAATGTTTGCCAGGACTGATCAGCTTGAGCTTTGGGGCCAGGTCTGGCCTTGTAGCTGCTCCCTGTCTTACCCCAGGGGACAAAGTGCTTTTGAAACTGCTCCCCTTCCTCCCTGTGTTATACTCTGATATACAAACTTGAGAGCAGTGCTAGTTGATAAATATTCTTTAATGAGACAGCTCCTTCTTTTAAATTCCTCGGTTTTCAATGTCAGCTCTTTTCAGTGGTATGTATGGCTAGAGGCTGGCTTGCCAGGTAAGACCTTGACATTAGGCACAGTGGGAATCTTCATGCCATGGAAATTGGCAAATGTGATAAATCAGGACTTTTTTTTTTTTTTCTTCTCAGAGAGCCATTTACCAGCACCCCATTGGCTCTTTCCCTACCTTTCCCACACCTCCCCGCCCCCATTCCCAAGAATTGCATGTGACCGTGGAAATGGGAAAGTAATTCCTGCTTTCCTGGGGGAGATACAGACAGGAGCCTCTTTGTGTACTGCTATCCCCAAACACGTATCTTTCCATTTTTCAGATATGCTTCAAGAATGCACAATTTGGGATCTTAGTCTAGGAAAACCAGAGGCAATTGATACGCTTTCATTATCAACTGAATCAAACCATTTGCCAAGCTGCTAACTGCTTTCTCCTCAACATCCTCCCCTTTCCGATACCACCCAAGTCAGGGCAATTGAATAGGATGAAGAAATCATTTTAGTACTTCGGTAATGGAGAAGAAATAACTGGAAGTATGATAAATTTTTTTTTGTATAAGAATGATTTGATATAACTTAATTCTTGTGAACTGTTCACTAGGCTTTGTATCTTATACCATGCTTTCAAGTATTAAAGAAGGCTAACATGTTTTACTTAAGTTAAACTAATTAAAACCTTTAAAAATTCAATATTCCAATTTTCCTGGCCTCATTTAAATGCCTTAATCCTATTAGATCACTCTTTAAAATGAATTACCCTCTAAAGTATTATAGTTACACATTTTTTAAATGAAACCCGGTATAGCAACATAATAGGGTTACTAAAATTAACGTTAATGAGAAGAACCACCAAGGTTCCTGCAATTTCTAACTCCTTTAAAAAAATACTTACAATAATTCCTGCTATTTATTTTATATTGACTGTACAGTACAAAGCAATCTCATGCTTCTCCCCAAATGGCAAATGTTTGAAATCTGGACACTTTGACCTTAAGTGGTACAGTGCAGGGGGCATCTGTGCTCAGAACCTACTACATCCATAAGGGTTCTTATCTTCCAAAAATAAAAATCAGTGTTATCAACATGTTGGTAGGCTTTCATGTTTGCAACAGACTTTTTGAACAGACTCTCTGTGCCAGGCACTGTGCTGTACTCCCTCTTGGGGAGGACGTAGACACATCCTCAAACTGCTATAATATAGCGTGTAAGGACCCAAGTAAGGGATTGTGCAAAGTGGGTCCCAGGTTAAAGAATGGGCACAAGTTAATCTGGGAAACAGGACAAGGAAGTTTACTAAAGTCTGCGCAAAATTGCCTCAGCCACTATTTAACTTGGGCTCAAAGCTGTTTCCACACCCTGTGAAAAGAGCAGGTGCAGATGAAACATGCATAATCAGTGTGGACCATTAATTGCCCCCTCATATTCTCATGTTCCTCAGCTTTGGTGCCATCACCACTGAAGACCTCACTGGAGTCCCCTGCTCTATTGTTAATGCCATTCCCCCCCCCCCCCCCCCACCAAGTATTTGGAACTGAGGCAAAAGAGACTACCTAGTGTGGGTTCTAATAACCCTCTAGGAGGTGTACTATGTAGTTATATTGTTACCTCTTAGGTTTCTTTTTATTCAGAATTATAGGTCCTAACTTTTCAAAATTACCCTTCGCACACACTTTTTTTCCTTTTAAGATGAAAATTGAACTTTGCTTCAGCCTGACATTAGAACTGCTCATACAATCTACATTTAAAAGAAACATATTTCTCTCAAAATAACTTTTCAGAAATATGTGACTGTCAAAGTACAATGTGGTAAGATCTCTCTCACATGGTTTAATAAACTCTTCTAGAACATTGTGGAGAAGGATTTGGATTAGGATGTCAATGTCCTGCCTAGTTAGAATGGAAATAGTTCTTCTAGTAGAAGAGTGTATTCTTTTTGTAGTGGTATACTTCGGAAAGATGATCTCCATAAAGTACAAGCATCCTTTCTTCTCTTTTCCTTAATGGTTTTGGAAAAACAAACTGTTTATGTATATAGGCCAAGTATGTTTTCTCATCATACATTGTTTTAAGCATTAATTATCCTTTAGTTATTCATCACCTTTGTTCCTTCCAGGACTGATTTCTTCTCAACAAAAGAACAAGTGTTAATTCAAATCATTTTGAAAAGTCATTCAAAATGTCTCAAGTAGGCTTAACACATCATGCAGAACTGCTCGGAAAGTCTTCATAACTGACTAATGACCCATTCTCTTTGGGCTTACAAAGAACAGAAACAAACAGGTGACTTCAGAGCTCTTGTCTTTGTAAATCTTATTTCTGTTATTTATGGCATAAATGTAACTTCAAAAAAATGCTCCCACCCAGAAAACCACATTATTCGTAGCCCGTGTAGAATCTTACAGTAAGAATTATAGGTAGATGTGGGTACAGAGACTTAGCAAATGGCCTCCTTCTCAGAGGACAACTCAGGGGAAACTACCAAAAAGGTACCCTAGCAAGTCTTCAAGTTTGAAGGGTGATTATGTACATCTATTTGCCAGTAGCTTTTTAGCCTTCTTAAGATTTTAAAAGGAAATGATTTTTAAATAGCAGTTGACGACAGATCTAAGTGACTTATAAAAAGAACCAGATGGTGAGGATCACGAAACACTGGACTGTGTTTCCAAGGGTGACCACAGAATCAGCTACTTGGAAGATTTTAAAAGGAGAATCTATGTCCTTTTAATAAGGGCATTAACAATGGTGGAATGATGTAGGGGTGGTCCTTCAGGAGATCGTGAAATGCAGAGTGACTGCCCAGGGTTTCTTCAATTTTGAAATTCTACGACAAATGAATCTATTTTTCTTAAAACTGTTCAGAACAAGGCTCAAGGCCCAGGGTTTTCAACTTATTAACAGGCTTATAAACTTTTATTTGGTTACTTCTAACAACAGTTAGTAAGCTGAAGCAAGACAGAAGTCTGGAAATTGTTTTCGAGTTAGGGGTCAGGTCTTGTACACATCGGTTTCTGAACATGAAGTTGCTCTGTGAACTTCTGCAGAGCCATAAATGTTGCCAATGGAGAAAGTGCTCTGACCCAATTTCTCTATACACATGTACCATTTACTTTACAACCCCAAAGCCTGATAAATAGGTTTTCTGGGTTGGCAATGTTTGCCACGCAGGTAGAATGCATGCAGGCGGAATTTCATTCTGTGCTAAATCACAGCATTCTGAAAAACTCGGGGCCTTGCAAAAGGCCATATCTCAAAAAAGTTACTGCTTCAAATAAATGTGCCATTTCATAAAATTACACCTACTGAATCAGAAAAAATGTTCTTTCATGTGAGTGACATTTATATGACTGCCATTTATAGGGAATAGGACATTCTCACAGAGCAAGGCTGAAGAATGGTTTTGAAAGCTGAGAGTATTCTCTGAATGATAAATGTGTTAGAAGTCTAAGATACTTGTGTGGGAAGAGACACTCCAAAACTGAGTAGTTTCCCTACAACACTGAAACTTGCATTAGTATGAAGAAAGTAATTCCTTGGTTATACTTACTGCATTAATGAGATTTTCTATATATTTCAAACCAGCAAGCATCTTTAGTCATTGATTTTCACCTTGGTAAAGTGTTGGACCCTGTCGATCATCTGGTCCAAGAACCTTTTATTTTACATATGTGGAAAATGAGGCTGAGGTGGTGAGCTTCTAGTTAGAACTAGGAATAGAATTCTCCAACCTCCCTCCCCTATTCTCCATCCAGCTCCCCTTCATGACACCAGTCATCTTTTTAAAAAGTTCCTAAATTACCATCCAGGGAGGGAGGGGAACTACCTTCTAGCTGCCTCTGGACAAACTGGGAAACAGAGATTTATTTATTCTTCACAATAAATTACTTTTTCCAACAGTATTTCTCTGGAAAAGCAATCGCTAAATTACAAAAGAGGGAGTTTAAATCGAGATCAAGGACGGAAGTGGTTGCAGATCTCGGCACACATTTCAGCTCTTGGTGAAGATCTGAGACTGAGGAGATTGCCAAAGCCACATTCTTCCAGGCGCCCTTCCTGGTGAGCGCCACAAAACCGCTCTCATCCAGAAGTTAAGATAGAGGAATATAAACCCTAAGTCTTCGGGTTTCTCTGCACCCTGGGGTAGAGATGGGCGATAAAACTCCAGGAAAATAGATGCTTGCTGAATTGCTTAACTCATCGCGGGACACCCTTGGATGGCCCGTCTTGGAGAGGGGCGCGGGGGTAGGGGGGGCGCGGCGCGCAGTTTGCCAGCACCTTCTTCCAGGTGCTTTCGGGCTGGAGAGTGGGGTCCTGGAAGTAGGGGCTCGAGGTGGGCTGAAGCAGATAAGGGAGGGGAGCCGCGCGGCGAAAAGTACGAAACAGTAGCGGGCTACAGGGACCCACCTGCTAGGAAGTGCTTTTGAGGCGAGGCGGCCACGGTCAGGCGCAGCTGCAGCAGGGAGCGCCGGGGGTCAGCTCACAGCTCCGGGCTGCGGGTGGCGCCTCTCGCTCGTATAAGAGGCCAGAGAGAGGAGGGAGGGCCCGCTAGATTTCGCAAGATAAGCGGTGAAGAAAGCGTTTCCAGGAAGCGTTCAAACTGGGAATCCCGGGCAACTGGAAGAACCAGAACTTCCTGTGCTGCCCCTGTGGCCGTTGCTGCAGATGTTGCTGCTGGTATCAGCCTGCGGGGTTTTCAAGGGTTTTCCCCAGAGCCCGTGGAATCTGCATTCCAGGCAGATTGAAATTTAGGGAGGCTGAGGAGGATCCCTCTCCCGAAGGAGCCAGACAACTCCGAGTAGCTGGGAAAACACTACCTGGTCTAGGCTTCCAGGCATTTCTCTTGCTGCCATTTTGTCTCAATTCAGAGTAAAAGGTGACATCTTTCCCCTCTGTCTGGAAGCCTTGGGTTCTCATGGGGCTCATAACTTGATCTTGAATTAGGAGGTTTTCATTTAGGTAGATTAAGTCGTTCAAAAGAAGCTGAAAGAAAGAGGGATGATGATGTGGCTACCTTATTGTTGATCTATAGCTAGATAATATTACATAATAATATGCAATAATATATGTTGCATAATTATATACATGCAAATGGGATTGATATGTCTTCCTATATAGGAGGAGCTCAGAAACTACAGCTATGGGGGTTTAAGGTTTAATTAGTCATGGTAACCTATGGGGCAAAGCACCCCTCAAACTCTGCAGTTTAGAACCTAGAATCTCCTAATCTGTCTCTTGCCAAGCCATCTGGTCTTAAGTTCCATGGCATACTTGTCAAGATCCAGATGTTCGGCCATATGGAGGCCTGTTCCCAGCACTTTGGAGCCAACCCTTCCTTTGCCTGGATTGCAGCTCTCTGCAGAGTATCTTGTGGTGTTAGCTCTCACCCCATGTCTTCCAAGAAGTCTTCTCCGAGCCTCTGGTTGCAATAAAACTTTTCTTTGTCCATACAGGGTAGTTTATGCTTCCAATACAGCAGTTAGGATGGTTTGCCTTGTAAGAGAGTTACTGTGTCTACATCTCCTCTCCTGGACTGCAAGCTCCCGGGGTTGACACCCTATTGTTTTCAGCCTGGGATTCTCCACCACACCTAGAACAGTGCTTGCTTATAATAGGTGCTCCATATTTAGTGCATTCATTGATAAACCTATGTTAGAGGTTCATCTGATAGTTTCTTTGGGCAAGGAAGAGCTTAAGAAAGTATTAATTGATTTTATAGCATCAGTTTCCCCAGTTTGAAGACTGACAGAGTGAGAGAAAGGTGTGCAGCTAGGAAAGAAGGCCTCCTGGTGTGTTCCTTAGAGGCCTCATGGTTAATCAGCACGGTTTTAGTGACCTGCCCCTGGTCTAGTGTGGCTTTAAGCCTTTGTGAGCACGGAAACTTGATTCTTTGCACACTGACCCTGATACTTACAACTGTAATGCTGATTTGTTAGTCGTCAAATGGAATATAAAGAAAATAATTACTGTGAAAATACAGTTGTGGAGGGCACCAAACATTCTAGCCATCACATTCTTTCCCTGGGGGAACATCCCAAGGAAGCCATTTTATGCACAAGCCTGCTCTATACACAGGAGAGTGAGGTATCACATTCCAAGGCTGTTGGCATCTAAGCACCCACCATTGACACCAGGATAACATATCTGCCACCAGCATGTTGCTGGGTCTGTGGACAAGGTCATTCTGGTTTCTGGGTGGTGTTTGGATCCATGATGAATTGACATATGGATAATCATATCCCAAATGCAGTCTTCAACTAATAACAGAATCATTGTTTTTTATACTTATTTTCAGGTGGACAAAAAAATTTTAAACCTGATTTTTATGAAAGGCAGATATATTTCAGTTATGTAAGCTCTTTTCTTTGCCAAAGGCAACTAGAGTCCCAGAAAGGGAAGATTACATTACTGAAATATGAAGGATAGAAGAAATTGTCTTTATTAGTACTAAACTTAAGAGGTACTCGACTTATTTATCTTGTAGTTTAAAGATTGATTTTTCCCTGGGTCCTAGGAGGGACACAAAATTCCTAACTCTCCCAGTCTGTCCTTAAACCCCTGCTGTAGGGAAAATTAAACTTTCAAAGATGCCAGCAGCCTGAAGACCAAGGCTTTGCCGTTGGCAGAATTCATCCTTCTCCTGAAAGCTTATCATCAGAACTCCGGATAAGCCTTCCCAGATGTTGCACACACCGTAGGATTCCTGTTTAGGGATTTCCACATTTATCATGCCCTAAGTCTTTCCTGCCACTTCTTCCTGGTCCAGCCTGCTGTCTCAATCTCTCCATGTAGCAGAATTTAGGACAATTGATGAAGTAGGCCTTGAGCCATTACTTAAATGACTGAATGAAAGTATGCCTTTAATAGCTTGTGCCTCCTTTTCTATGTCATTTCTCTCCTCTTTGGGGCTTATTTTCTTTGCAGTCTTGGGTCTTGACCACTCCTCCCTCTTCCCAGAGACCTCTTCTTACAGTGCGTCACACATTATCATGGGGTGCTGGCTCTGGAGGTGACTGACATGATAGTCTATAATTAGCACATATATGGGAAACTCTTCACGTCAGATTTGACCTCTAGCTGTTTTTGAAAAACAAAACAAAACTGAAGGATTCCTGGAGATGTCTGGCTTATCCAAAGAAATAAATCTCTAATGAGGGGGGTTGGATTTCAGGCACTTTGGGAGATAATTTTGAATATGGGTATAATGAGTATTTTGTCTTTTGCTTGCCCAGTATCCAGGGTTGGGACTAGGGTGAGGTGAGTGAGGAGCCTAGGGGTGCAAAATTTGAGGCGGGGTTCACTGTATCCACTCTTAAAATGGATCCTTGTGAACCAGAAAATGAGTGTTCCTTAAATTTAGGCTCTTTGGTGCCTCGCTGACCTCCTCTTGTCCTAGCCTTTGCAGAATCCATTTTTCTTTGTGCTAACCACATCTTCATTTTCCTTTGGGAAACACCCTAGCACAGGTCTCAGTCCCTGTGGTCCAGGTGGAAGTGACAACACTGAGTGGGGATGGGGGGAGAGTCAGTTTTTGGAATAGACCCGTGACATAGGCCTGGCCAGTCAAAGCACACAGTCTCGTTCACAGTGATTAGTTCCGTGATGACACGTGAGCTAGGCTGGGCTAATAGGAATCTTTCCTGGACCTCAGGTGAACCTGCTAGAGGAGAGAGTGAGCCTGAGAAAGAAGCCCGTCAAGGGAAAGGAGAGCAAAGAGGTGAGAGGGATCTATTTCTGAATCTGTTGGAACTCTACACCTGAAGAGGATTATACACCCTGGGCTTTTTAGTTACGTGTGTAAATAATGGTGTGCTATTTGTACCATTTGTGTGCTATTTCACACCACTGGGATGCGGATGCCATTTATTGTTTGGGGGAAAAACAAACTTCCTGAATTTTCTTGTAGCAAATCTGGGGCTTGAGTAAATAACCTGTGTGGCTGAAGTTTCTCAGCTACTTCTCGGTAGATGTGGAAGTTTAATTTCTTTTCCCAGCCAACTTCTTTTCTGCTTCTTTCCTACTCTCCTGGGAGGTGGGCTAATAGAACCACCTTTTCTCCCCCGTGAAATGCGAAATGACAAAGGGTTCAAACCGGGTCCATGGCCTGAATTTACTTACTATACCAATTTCTAGGATTCCTGCCAACACAAAGCAGGAAGCAAAACCAAACAACATTTTGCCACCCACCTGTTACCAAAAAAAAACCCAAACAAACCACTGATGGGAAAATATGCCAGACACTGGCAATCATGGAGACTGGGCTAGATGATGATGTCAGGAATAACAATAAAGAATTTAAAAATAAGACATGCCCTGAAGACCCTGGCTCTGTCACTAGAAATTTAAGAAAAGGTGAAAGTAGAAGAGTTGAGTGTGTGAGAATGAGTGAATAATAGCACTTTAAAAAGTCACTGACTCAAGGTCAAGGGCAGCTACTTCTGGGATTGGGAAATGGGGGAGGAATCCCTGTTGTATTTATCTGCATCTCTGACTCTCTGAGTCACAAGGTCTGTGGTAATTTGGCAGGACTATGGACTGACCATCCCCAAGAGAAATCTGGACTTGGTCCAGGCCACACCTGCTGGTCTCGGACGAGGTCACTTGGCTATGATGTTATCAAAGAACAACATCTTCAAAGTTTGAAGAGATGGAGGAAATATCTAAGTCAAGTTAATGTTTTGATAAATGATACATTTTTTGATAAGTTAATAGAGATGTTCTTTTTGTAATTCAAAAGCTGAAAATAAGTTTTACCTCAGCCTCCTGGTAAAGGAGCTGGTTGTCAAGGTGCTGGGAGTGCTGTTTCCACAGTGGGTGGTGGTTCCTGTTAGTACTAGAAATATTATTGGTAAAGGTGATTCTAGTACAGCCAGCCTGTGCCTGGTGCCAGGAAAGGGAGGTTAGCTAAATTGTCACATACTGAAGAGGAGAGAAAGAAAGAAAGAAAGAAAGAAAGAAAGAAAGAAAGAAAGAAAGAAAGAACGAAAGGAAGGAAGGAAGGAAGGAAAAGAAAGAAAGAAAGGAAGGAAGGAAGGAAGGAAGGAAGGAAGGAAGGAAGGAAGGAAGGAAAAGAAAGAAAGAAAGAAAGAAAGAAAGAAAGAAAGAAAGAAAAGGAGAAAAAAGTGAATGTAGCTTAATCCATTGTCCTGTTCAAAGAGAATTTGCAATGAGATTAGTATAAAGCAGATCATTGTTGGAAAAGGACAAGAATAATGAAAACATTAGCCCATTTTTTTCTACTTTTGACTGTTTATAAAGATCAATTACTTGCTAAGAGTTATTTTTCTTCCTTGGAATTGCCTTAAAGATAACTATAAAGCTTTCTTTATCATGCTGGTAAGGGAATGCCAAATATAGTTGATTTATTTTTTATTTATAGATTACTTGCCAAACAGTTGATTTCACTACTATAGATTATTTTAGGTTATGTGAAACTTCATGTTAAAGGATTAAATTAAAATATTTGAAAGGTTGATGCACAGGTGCAAAATTCAAGATATGAAAGCAGTAACATTAGAAAGCATTTCCCCCCAGACATCGAGTTCTCCTGTCCAGAAGCAACCATGTTGATGATTTATTGGGTTCCTTTCACAGGCAAACTATGCAAATAAAAGCCTGTATATTTAGTCTTAAAAAATCCAAGCGGCAGCCTACTAGTCACATTCTACTTCTTGCTTTTCTCACTTAACGGTGCAACTTAGAGATCATTCAGAAAGAACAGTCAAGGCAGGTCTATTTAAAATTATACCGGTACATGCCTAGCTTCCTTTACTTGTTCCCCCCTTTCTCTGCTTTGTTTCCATAGCACTCATTATTTTCTATCACACTGTAATGGAATGATTTACTGTGTTTATTGTTTGTCTTCCCCTAGATTGCAGGAGCCACGGGAACAAAGCATTTTTGTGTCATTTGCAATCTGCTGTGTATGTAGCACCTGGAATGGTGGTTGGTACCACGTAGCAGGGTCTCAGTAAATATTGTTGAATGAATAAGTGAATATATGTTTCGAAGGAACAATGATGGACTGGTAGCAAACCCTAAGAGAGATATGTAGAAATTTAAGATGTTTGAAACCATTCATGTAAACACTGTATTGATGTGATTAAATCCGCTTTTCACCAGTGGAAGTGGAATGCTCAATTAACTGCCTCTACTGATGGCCAAACATTTTTGTGCTAAACTCGTTCAGAAAAGACCAGTGCCTCTGGCTACTTCTCTCCTGCTATTCCCAGGGTTCTGCTTTTTTTCAGACTTCTTTTGCAGCTATAACCTTTTCATTTAATTACTTCTCTCCCAGCTCCTTATCTCCCAAGTCTGCAATAGCATTTTGTGAAAATGTGATGGAATTCTTGGGTCTTTTTTTCTGAAAGTGTCTTGGTAGTGAGACATTGCACAAATTCCCAGCAATTAGCACTTGTAAACAGGCCGTGGAAGGGTGTCCAGCATTCATTATAGGAAAGGGAGGGAAGACTACCCTGTTCACATTTTAGGACTGTACAGGAGCCATTGAAAGAGTTTTGATTCCTCAGAAATGTCACCTTTGTTTTTATATAACCATTGCAGGGAAGAGAGATGTGGACAGATGGCTTTCAAATGGTGTAAGTAAAAAATATTTGAAATCATTAAAAAAGAGGAGGTGGAGAAAAACAAAATAAATGGCTTATTCTACTGATCCTCTTTAGATAGATATCTGGTTTGGCGGGACTAGTGGCTATTTGGGAATATTCTTAATTTATGCTTTCTTGCATTTGGTAAAGCAGTGATTACATAATAGATTTTACACACAAGGAAAGCCACAAGGGAAAGAATATTTGGAAGCAGTGGGGAGGTAGGTTATAATTTTTTATGTCATTCAAATGTGAATTACTTAATACTTTAGATCAGAACTATTTTAATTTTGAACTTAAATCCAGGGCCATTCATAACTTAATGGCCATTCATTAAGAATACCATTCATAAGCAAGAGAAATATTTTAATTAAACACTAGAAATTTATGTAGAGAAAAGAAGTTTATCAAATCTTGTCAAAATCCACTTGCTAGAAATAAAAGTTTATTATTTTTGGAGGGGAGGGTGATATCTGTCGATCCTGGTGCCCCCTTCTCCTCTTCAAAGAATAAATCCTCATTTGACCAGAGGGAGGGAAGGAAGCCCAGTTAAGGACGCCAAGGGAACCCAAACAGATTCAGTCAAGTTCATGGACTTCAAATGTAGTGCCATTAAGACATTTTAGTTAAGTCTAAGACCAGTTTTTAGACCACTCTACTTGGAAGGGGAAAAGGAAGAGACAGGAAAACTCAAAAAAGCAGACCCAAGACTCAAAATATGACTGGGATACTTTATTATAGGAGCAAAACAATCAGGATATGCTGAAGGAATTACTATATATGTTATAATATATTAATCTTTATATTGATAGCCCTATTATGACAAGAAAAATTATGTTTAGTGTGCTTCCATAATACAAGGAATGGTATAAAAACCATTTTAATGGCATTTCTATCCAAAATGATTGTCATGAAGTGAGTTTTTAATACTGACCCACCCTCCCTCCTGAGAAACCACTCACGGTCACCTGCATCCACCTTTTCATAACTAATAATTGCCACACTTCCATTTTCACTCTGATTTTCTCATCATTACCTCTGTCCATCCAGCCCACTCACCCTGTCTGTCCCACTCTTGCTGGTTTCTGACCTCATCTAGACCTCTGCTCTTGCTTACTCTTATACTCCTCAGTTGCTCCTGCTCCCCCTGTCTTTTCTTTTACCTCGCCGAGATTCCACCTACTCCCGCGACCCTTTGCTCACAAATGCTTTTTGATTCCCTTGACCATCTCTTTGTCCATTTTCCTTATCTGGCAAAATCTCAACCTCGGTTTCCCCCAGCTAACTGCCTACTTTGCACCTCCACTCAAAGCAGGTAACTGTTGCTGGGGAAAATCACACAGTCATGCTGACTACAGTCATTTCAAAACCATGAGCACACGTGGCAAAGGCATACCACACTAAGTGCCATCCTGCTGTGTCTGCCAAGCAGATTCAATGTCTCACTCTCTGAAATGACTCCTTAAACCTCTTCTTCCCTTCCCCACTCAATCACATGTTGTGATGTTACCATGATCTCATTTTCCTACCACTAATTCTAAGAGCCCCCCCCCCCCCCGCCATATTCATACTTATACATTCTGCCAATGTGCCCCTAAGGCCGTTTTGTTCAGGTATACTCTGGATCTCACCCAGAAGTACCTTCAAAAAGACCACTCCTCCAATTATCTTCTTCCTTGTCCCAGTTTTCAGTTCATCCCTGTGCCCTGGATTATGTCAGATAGCATTCAAGTAATGTCTTCCTGTCCTAACCTTGAGTATTTGTTTCCGCTACAGGATGTTTGCATATTGTAGCTACTGCTGCTTCTGCTTGGAAAGAAAGGACTTTGCTCAGATCTACAAGTGACTGCCTCATTATTCTGTTCTCAGCTTCTCATCTTGTTGCCTTTAACGACCCTCTTAGCTCAGATTAGCTCTCCCATCTACCACCTTTCAGGTAGGCACCATATGTCACATTACATAATTTGATTTCCCTCATGGTACATAGTGTCTGAGACTGCCTAGCTTCTTACTGATGTGTTTATGTATTTCTGTTCCCACTGGAGGGTAAGCTTATTGGAGTCCAGGAACCGCCTCTTCATTACCGTGTTCTGTATTGTCAGAGAACAGTCACTGGCATTCAATAGGTGCTCAATACTGACTGATGGATTGACTGATTGACTACTTGAAGGTAGTAATTACAATAATTTGGAAGAAATTGTTCCCCAGCAGTGCTGATAAAAGATGTATTATTGTGTTTTCTCCTTCAAATAAATCCAGTTCTGGAAGGCTAGTGAAAAACAATAATATGAACACCAGTGCTAATAAAAATACTTATATAGAACTTTCTATGTGCCAGAAATTTTTCTGGACACTTTTCAAACATTTGTTTAAGCCTCACAATAGCCCTCTGAAGCAAGTACAACAAATGAGGAAACTGAGGCACAGAACATGCCCGCACACTTAGGTATTTCCCAACCTAGATTTCATTGTTACCTCAGTGGGGAAAGTGTTGAGCAGTGTTTATCTAACCTAAATCCCTTCAGATCATCACATTTGCTGGTTGTCATTTCCATAAGAAGGAACAACCATTTAGCATAAAGTATCAGGCAATCTTGTAGCCACCACTGATCTTGGATACACTACACCCCAGGAACTGTGCTAGGTGTTGTGAGAGATACCAAAGAAGAATAAGACAGGGTCCTTTCGGAAAAGACAGGAGTAATATGTTTAGTAAGTCTAAGGATTGTACATCTATAAATGACTGTATAATATCATTAAATAAAATGAACAAATTTATAAAATATTTATACCTTTGCATACTTCTAGTTTTTAGGTGGCAATATTCTTTCTGTTTTGAAGATATGGCAAATATTCATGAAGTTAGATTACTTGGATAAAGGCCATATCACCATACCTTGGCACCTAGCTTTCAAAGTCTTAGGATATATTAAGGGTGTTGGATCCAAATAAGAATATTCATATTTGGGCATCAAGCAGAATCCCCTTTCTGAATGCAAGTATCAGTTGGTCTTCCCAGTTCTGATACCATTTTTCTTTGTACTACATTAAGTGTCTTCTTCCCCACTTTTTTAGGACTTTATGTAAACACAAAAGCCTTAATTTAGTAGAGTTGGCCACATACCACTAGATGAACTATACATTTCTGAAAACTCACAAAGTGGTAATTTAAGAACAAATATAGACAGCATATCTTAAACAATTCAGTCATAGCTCCAACATGGGTTGGGTGATACTCAGCCTATTTCCTTAAAGAACTAGGAATACCCTTAGGCAGCAGTGACTAAGGAGACATCTGTCTTCATCCTGTTTTTACATCCTACACTAGCCCACACCTTCCCGGACTGGCCTGGGCACAGCTCATTTCAGAGATGATCACCGGGAGTTTCTGGTATGTGTCTATAATTTCTCAAAGTTAAGTCCCTAAAATATCTTAACTTTCTGTTTCAACTACACACTCTGCACCAACTCTATTTCAGTTCTGTAGCTACATATACTCCCTGTGTTTATTGCACAGATCTGCAGTGCTAAGAATTTATGATATGCATTTTTAAAAAAATTATAGAAGTATCTACTGATACTGTGTATAAGAAAAAATGCTTTATACTTTGCATTGTCTCCTATCATCTTTTACCAAAAGCCTCTGTAGCTAGCATGTCTGGAATTTTAAGGTTCTTTGGTGTAGTAAGTTGAATTCTGTTCCCCTAAAAGATATATTCCAGTCCCCAGCCCTGTGAGTACCTGTGAATGTGAACTTATTTGGAAGTAGGGTCTTTGCCAATGTAGTTAGTTAAGGATCTTGAGATGAGATCGTCCTGGATTTAGGGTGAGCTCTAAATCCAATAAATTGTGTCCTTATAAGAGAAAGAGTTGAGACACAGAAAGAAGGCCAGGTGAAGACAGAAGCAGACCGAAGTAAAGAGATGTTATGCAGACCCAAGTGAAGGGATGCTGAGGGTTGCGGGAAGAAATGCCTGGAACAGATTCCTCCTCAGAGCTTCCAGAGGGAACCAACCCTGCTAACACCTTGATTTTCAACTTCTGGTGTCTGGAACTGTGAGATAATAAATTTCTGTTATTTTATGCCACCAGTCCTGAGGTAGCCTGTTATGGCACCTGTAGGAAATTAATACCCTTGGTTTTAGTGGGGAAATAACAAGTTCATGGCTTGAGCAATGCCAAGAATATCCTTACCTATTGCTGATTATTGCTTCCTTTATGGTTATTTCCTGTCTCATACATCGTCAAATGCCCACTTTCACTGTATACCTGGGCAAAAGGTGGTTTCTCCCAACCTTTGCAATAAAGACAACCCAATACCAACAACAATCAACCACCCGAGTATATTAAAAAATCTGTGCTTCTGTGGTTTTTCTTTTTAAGTATCTCATGTGTATTATTATAAAAATTGTAATTGTCATATATTTAGCAATATTTCAATGAACAATGCCTAACTTAGCATTTTGATGAAATATACCTTCTTTCTGAGAGAATTTTAATCAAAATAATACAGAGAGAAACATACTTAGCAACATGATCTTAGACAGTTTAAGATTGTCATTTGCACGTTATAGGTTTTCAGGACACAGAGAGTGAATCATGTAAGGCTGGAATAACTGAAGGAACACTTCACTCATCCTTCTTCAGGGCCCTTCCGGGAGCCGGGGTAGTGGTGACGTGAATTTTGTCAGAGTGTATCAGAGATTCTCTGCATCCGTGGACTTGAATCTTTCCTGTGCTTGCTGCAGTCACAGTTCTAGGTCCTTGCTCTCTGATCACTTGCTGAAGTCTTAATAGTTCTAGAAGGCCAAAGCTTGTGTTTATTTAGGTAGTAATCACGGTAGGTGAATGCCAATTACATTTGTTCTATTCATAAAAGGGACAACCAAGGGTTTTTAACCTGGAGTCTGTGAATTCAGGTTCACAGCAAAAATTTTCTATTTTTATTAAACACGAAATGAAACTCAATTGTAATTCAATTTCAGTTGCTTTGGTAAACTTATTTTATTTTATGCCTTTATCAGTTTTATTCTGAGAAGGGGTCCATAGGCTTCCGTAGCCTGCCAAAGAGGTCAATGGCACAGAAAATTTTAAGAACCCTTGCATTAGCTCTTAGAAAGAAAGACGACTAAGGTCTGAGGCCATTAAATCATTTGCTTCTGGAAACCTGGGTTGTTTAGCACATTTCCTTTCAAGGGCATAGACAAATAGCAATAAGTAACACTCCAGTTTTCCAAAAATGACCAAGCCCTTGTTCTCTTTAGTTACTTTACATTTTATTTACATCTACATCTTGTGTACCAGCTTTTTTGGCGGCCACATTGAACATGTCTTGTTAGTTTTCTGTGGAGGGGTTTTATTATCATTAGTCGTCTGCAGCTCTCGATATTGATTCTGAATGCGTGGTCATCTTTACTCTGCCTTGGTCATATACTGACCTTCCTTATTTGGCTTGTAACTGGAGATGGGGTGCATGGTACCCTCAGAATATTTGTGCTGGAAGACACGAAGTCATTTATGAGAAAACAGGGACATTAGAGGCAGGTCATGTGGAAAGGGTGTCATGGAGTTTCCTTTATGGAAATGAAAATGCTGTTTATACTACTTTGCCTTTCATCATGGAAAATTATTCTGCTGATGCTACAGCTTCTGAGTGTATAGGTGTGGCTGAATTAACTTGGGCATGACACATAATTGCATACCTCTTCTCTGATGTTCAAGGCAAGTGGAGCTTATTGTTATTTTTGGCTCTCTTTAGGGTTATTGGTTATAGAATGCTCTCTTTTTTCGGAACTAATTTTCGAAAACCATCAGCAACAGGGAGTCTGGGTGGCTCAGTCAGTTAAGCATCTGACTTTGGCTCAGGTCATGATCTTATGGTTTATGAGTTCAAGTCCCCCATCTGCTGAGCTCGAGCCCCGCTTTGGGTGAGCATGAGGTCCGCTTCAGGTAAAAAGCCCCACCTTGAGTGACCCCCACTTCTCTCTCTCTCTCTCTCTCTGCTCCTCACTCACTTGCTCCCTCTCTGTCACTCAAAAAAAAAATCTATGTCTATATTCACACATACATATTGGAGTAGGAGAATCATTTATTCATTCAACAAATGTTTGTTACGTGCTGACTGGCTGCAGGGCCTGTGTTTTGAACTGTGATTTCACGTGCTAGCATCTCCACCTCTCTTGGTAGGCCTCTCCTGTGACTTTACAGAGAATGGAAGACCTCACTTAACAATCTCCCTCTCCAAATCAGACTTTTCTCTTCAGGAACACTGGTGCTGTTTTTCCCTTCCACAATCGTATTTCTACCAATTTTACTCCCTTTCATGCATTTTTAATGTCTGGGGTCACTGGTCCTTTCCCTATTACCTACAATTAGGTGTTCATTATTCAAAACATTGGCAACCAACAGTCCAAAGGCAACATCCAAACAGAAACAAGAGAAAAAGGAAAACACTCATGATCAAGCCTCTCTTGTCTGCTTCTCTTCATCTCCAAACACCCTTGGAAGAGTTCTCACTTGCTCGTAACTACTTACTCCTGGGACCTTTGTCATTTGATATTCTCTCTCATCAAGCCACTGAAAAGTGCTCAGTGACTTTTTAATGTGAATTTTGATGGCTAGTCTCAAATTCTCAATTTTTTTTCTGACCTCTCCGAGCTGTTTTATTTTTTTTTTAATTTTTTTTTTCAATGTTTATTTATTTTTGGGACAGAGAGAGACAGAGCATGAACGGGGGAGGGGCAGAGAGAGAGGGAGATACAGAATCGGAAACAGGCTCCAGGCTCTGAGCCATCAGCCCAGAGCCCGACGCGGGGCTCGAACCCACGGACCGCGAGATCGTGACCTGGCTGAAGTCGGACGCTTAACCGACTGCGCCACCCAGGCGCCCCTCTCCGAGCTGTTTTAAACTGTGGACTGCCGCCTCCTGGACACTGT